GGCCTGAACAGCAGTTCACGTACACCTAGCAGATGCCATTTATATTATTGTACAGTTTACACATTCATTGTATGTACTAGAATAGCCTTTTATGTTATCAGTCCTTTTATGTAACCGGGTCTGTCAGGCCCATATTAGAGGTCCAGACCCGGATTTCCCTATATATACCCCTTTTTGGAGCTTGTAAACATAAGTCATAGAACTCACAACTCATTCAACATTATACACATTCTTCTTCTCCATTACCCTCCTACATTCTTGTTCAATCTCTCCTTAAATATACAGTATGTGTATCGATTATCCAACAATGGTGCTCTCGTTGAGAGTTTGAACAGAATCAAGTGAGAAACCCTCCCCGCTTAACCAAAAACTCTACCAAAATCACAAAAAATTCATCCAAAACAGTTGGAACCTTGAAGAAAATCCACCAAAAATCATTCTGAAAAGCAAAAAAAGTGAGAAAAAGCAACGGATAAGATATGGAAATTTGTGTTGGAAATATGCCCTAGGACAATCATAGTTTATGATTTATCAATAAATATTTAATGCTCATTAATTAATAAAGTTACAAACTCATTTTATGTTAATTATTATTGTGAGTTTTCTTTATTAATATTTAGTCCCTGAATATTCTGTTTAGTAGCTAATTAAGTATGTGACTTAATTGTGGAATGCTACACTTTAAAATAAACATAATATTCTAATTGTCCCTGGTCTAATATTATTAATTTGGGACATTAATAATTAATAGACCAGTATGTGGATTAACTGATGGCTATATTCCACTAGTCATGGGTATAGAGATATCAAGTTAATAACATAGATGCTTGTTAGGGAACAAGTTCATTGGACAGACCCAACTTGAGGACACTGCTAGGTTATATGTCATCAGTGTTGTCCTCAATAATGATGAGGTGCTATATTCTTATGCTTGAGATAATCATGGTTACTAGCATGAGAATTAATATGTATTAACACCATTAAATGTTATCTTTAACTGGGTAATTATAAAGGTGGTGATTGTACATATTATGAACCATGTAGTAGTATGTGAATTATCAAGATAGTTTTTGTCACTCTTGTATATCGAGAGAAAGATATCTATTGGGCCCCTTGACAAGTAAGATTAATTAGCATGGCCATGCACAAATGAGGTGTCATTTGATCGAGATTAATCTTACTTGGTAATCAAGAAATATTAATTGAGAATAACAAGGATGACACGACCTAACCTTGTCTCAATTAAGATATCGTTTGACAAAAGAGAATTATTAGCACAAATTAATCATTAAAAGGTTTTGTCAGATTTAATTGACATTTATATATTTTGGATAGTCATAATGCCTTGCTAGAGGCCGCTTATGATTTGTGAGGCTCGAATTAATTTCTAGCCCACTACCAATAATATATAAACCTACAGGGTCACACACCTAAGTGATTTGGATCATTAATGTTTGTTAATAACATTAAAATAGCTTGATTAGCCCAATTCGAAATAGGGTTTCGAATGGTATTGGGCTAGGGCCTCTTTAAGGGTTTTATTAGCCATAAAACCCCTTCTTTCCTCCTCTTATAAATAGGGCCATATAGACCCACGAATTTTAAGAGTTAAAATTCACTTCTTAAACCTAGAGTTGGAGAGGAAGAAAGAAAAGAACGCTAGCACGTTCCCTGCGGCCCATCCAGTCACGTGCGTGTGGATACCGGTAGAGCTCGGGATCGTTTTCTCGGACTGTCTGACATCCTTGATTAAGATTGCTATGTAAGTCCCTCTTAAATTCTTGTAATTTCGTTTATAATAAGAACCTCAGATCCGTTCATTTACTTTTGGGTAGAAAAATTTTTGTTTATTCCGCTGCGTTTTTCTGCCCGAAACCCAACAATTTGCATCTGAGATTTCCAACACAGAAGCCGGAGATGTCTTCACCGGAAAGGTTATCGCCCTACTAGTAACCACCGTATGTCGATAGTAGAATCTTGTCGCCTGCTGAAGCTCACCAGCCGTTCCCAGGTCTGAGCTGAAGCCGTCCGACGCCGTCCACTGCAGCTCACAGCACCAGGTACGAGCTCCTCCTTCACAACCCTGTCAGCATCGCTCCGAGCTGCTGCAGCACTGCTCTCCGTCACGGCATGACTATCGGAGCCTGAACCCCGGTCACCATCTTCATAGTCATCGTTTTCAGCTTCTGAAGCTACACCATCAGGTATCCGCCATTGATGGCCGCTGGGAAACTCTGCTCTCGAACCATAAGGAGACGTGGAGAGAGCATGGTTGTTGCTAGTGAGAACCGAACCAGGGCCACGATTGCCATCTCCATGGTCGTTTGGCTTAGTTACCGGAGTTTTGACCTCAAGTATCCACCATTAATGCCCACCAGGAGCTCCAGGAGCAGCAAATCGGAACTGCCTTGCTCACTAGACTTGAAGAATGTACCGGTTGTTGCCTGAAGACGCGCGCTTCGCAGGTGCTGCCTTTGGGTCCATCTGCATCACCTCGGTAGCTGTTGGTTTGGTCCCCTAGACGATCAATACCGGTGTGCTGCTTGGGGTCCTAGTCACGTTGTGGCTGTCCTCTATGCCAAAAATGAAAGCTGGCAGTAGGAGCATTGGACTAGGGGAGGAGGATGTGCTCCAAACAGTCAAACTTCTATCATCACCTAGGTCAAAATTGGTGGGAGGAATTACCCAACAAGGAACAAAGGCCCGGGCAGTCCACTATTCAGCCCATAACTCAATCAAATGGGCCGACCATCAGCAAGAAAAGTCCAACTTTACTGGCCCAATCTATTATTTAAACAAGCAGCCTAATATTTCAGCCCATCAAGAGATAAGTACTCTTTAATTTTCATATTATTTATATTTATTTAAATCATTTTTTTGTCGGACGAATGTCACACTATCACGCACTTATGATCAAATGCCTAGTAGAGTATGGCTTGAGACCCATCACTAGGATTTAAAGCCCTGACTCTCATGCACAAAGCCCCGACTCTCAGGCACAAAGCCCTGACTCTCAGGCACGAAGACCGGTCTTAGTCATTCCTCGAGTGGCGACCGTTGCTTATGAATGGCTCACACATCCACTCTACTAAGTATTTTATCATTACATTGGTAATCCACATTTCCACTATTTTCAAGTAACGAACTCCTGATCGGAAACATAAATCCCAAGAAAAAGATTTTATATGTATGATAAATGTGTAGGTACAAAGATGACTTTACTCATTTTCACCTCGTCTCCACTCGCCTCAAAGAGTGGGGACTGGGGGACTGAGGGGTCAGAGTTTCTAGATGAGGAAAAAACATCACGCATGAGCAGGAATGAAAGATGAGTCAGATGAAGACGGGTTGAGCTAGACAAAAGTGATTACGCCGGAGGGGGCCTACCTTCCTTGTTTCATGTTGGGGGAGCTAGGTGTACTCTTTTTCCCTTTATTAGAATTTTTTCCCACTGGATTTTTCCTGGTAAAGGTTTTTAACAAGGCACCTCCCCATCATGGACAAGGGTGGTGGTCCTCCGGCCGGAGAGGAAGAAACCAAGACAGAAGAACGTTGCAGATACAGTTTGGACTACTCCCTTTCGCCTCAAGTACTCTCGACTCAGGGAGTGGGGGACTCTTGATAGAGTATATGGACTCCGACCCCCCGGTCTGCTTATTATTGGGCCTGGACAGCAGTTCACGTACAACTAGCAAATGCCATTTATATTATTGTACAGTTTACACATTCATTGTATGTACTAGATTAGTCTTTTATGTTATCAGTCGTTTTATGTAACCGGGTCACTCAGGCCCATATTAGAGGCCCAGATCCGGATTTCCCTATATATACCCCTTTTTGGAGCTTGTAAACATAAGTCATAAAACTCACAACTCATTCAACATTATACACATTCTTCTTCTCCATTGCCCTCCTACACTCTTGTTCAATCTCTCCTTAAATATACAGTATGGGTATCGATTATCCAATAGACTTATAGGTGATGAAAATTAAAATGTTGAGAACTCGAGAAATGGATATATTTTACGTATTATATATACATGAATAATCGACAGTTGAACTTATTAGAAGCAGATTACTAATCATTGAGACTATTATTCTCATTATTTCCTTTAAAATATGATAAAATATGGAGCATGATAAGCATGACAAATATGAAAGATGATATTTGATAATCCGATGAAAGATTATATTTTGTCAAATAATTGTTAGATTCAATTGCCTTAACATTACTTTACTATATCCCCGATGAATTACATACCAAATTAAAATTAGTATCTTGATTAAATTGCAAATAACTTAAGTGCACTTTACTTTAACCTGCAATATAGCAATTATTGCTTAAATCGAAGGTAATCATAGTTAATCACTTCTTATTTAAGTATAGAGGGTGGAACAAAGTGATTTCATTTGGATGAAACTGAAATAAACTGTATATAACAATGAACCAATTAGAGATCAAATTTCGAATAAAATGCATTTATTTGATTATCCATTCTATTTAGATACTGTCAAGCAACACTCACATCTTCAAATATTTTTTCCTACGTTGTATAATTAAACTAAACTTAATACTATGTACTCCCTCCGTCCCTTATAACTTTGCCAACTTTCCTTTTATGTTTGTCCCAAAAACTTTGCCACTTTCCATTTTAATCAATCAATTTGTGGCTCATGTTATTTCTCTCTCCTCTGCACAAATCTCTACCACACAGTTTTACTTTATTATTCTATGTGCCGATCAAACATGGCAAACCTTTAAGGGACGGAGGTAGTAACATATACTACCCCCGTCTTTTAAAACTTTGTCGAAGTTGATCGGCACGGAAAATAATAAAGTAAAAAATGTATGGTTGAGGTTTGTGTAGAGGAGAGAGAAATAACAAGAATCACAAAATAATTGATTAAAAAAAAAAGTGACAAATTTTTTGGCACGACCCAAAATACTAGTCTTTTAAAATTACAAAAAAAATGCGCAGTAATGGATAATATTTTGGCCTATGAAAGAAGGCGTCACGACTCGTGATTGCGACTCTATGGGAAAAAAATATGATTCATTTTAGGAAAAAAAAATTAAAAGGTGAAAAAAAGTGATACTCCGAATTTTCCCATTAAACACAAAAAGCTGGAAAACAGAGAAAGAGGGGCTGACAGAGAAGAGATGAACAAGAAAGAGGTGTTGAAGCTAGCGAAGGGGTTTAGAGGGAGAGCAAAGAACTGTATAAGAATAGCAAGGGAGAGGGTGGAGAAGGCGTTACAGTATTCTTACAGAGACCGCCGCAATAAGAAGCGCGACATGCGCTCCCTATGGATCCAGCGCATTAATGCCGGCACCCGCCAGCACGGTGTACGCCTTCCTCCTTTACCCTTTCCTGCTCTTTTTTCTCTATACTTCTCTCTCCTGAAAGTTTTTTGCTTTTTATTATATTGGGTGTGACCACTACTTGTTTGCGTAAATGCCTCACAGGACAAACTTTGAGCTGATGTCATTTTCATTTAAATCGGGATTCTTTTTAATATTGCAGTGCTTTATTAGTAGACTTATGTGCTTTGGAAGTAAGTATTAGTATGTGCTTCATTGTACTGTGAAATCTTTGTTTGGGTGCTGCCGTGCTGGGTATATAATAATACTTCACCATGTGATCCTTTATAATATTCTACCAAAGTTTGAAATATATCTGTAGTAGCATACCATGCAAAAAAGATACCACTTGCTATCATGTTATTCCAATGAGTGACACAGTGAGATGATTGATGAATGATGAAAGTGATGATTCTGTCTAGGTGTTAATCTCTGAGTTGGTTGGGGCATTTCGGAGGGGATGGAATGAGAGTGATTTAAAAAAAAAAACAATTCCTACATCTAGATGGTTTGGAATAAACTGTAGATAAGAAACCCTAAAGAAATGCATGATTAAAGTTATTTTTGGACCAAGGAAATGCATGAATACATGATGTAAAACTAATTAATAGAGATAAGGTAGCATATAAAAAATCAATACGGCCTGTCACTCCAAAGTACCTGAACCAAACAAGACCTAAACTTTTTATTGGCATTCATATTTACGTGGGATGATGATGATGATGATATTGGTGGTGCCAAAGTTTTTCTATTATAGCCCTATGTTATCTAATTAGTGAGTAATCGCAGAGTACTCACTACTCGGGTTAACACCTTGCCGAATATGTTACGGATCTATTTTATTCCAAGACGGCAAGACCCTGAGTTATTCCCCAAGTACACACTGGTTTTGGTGACTTGGTGAGTCGGATTACATGCCGGGTAACTCGGTCGGCCAAAATTGAGTACTCTTTTTTGTTATATTCGAAAGGTTGAAACTAAAAGTGGGATACCATGGGACTTAAAAATAAATAGGTAATTTATTGTAGTAAATTAAAATATAAAATCACAAAATCATGGAATTTCAAAGTACCAAGGTTATTTTACAGATTATGTAAATGGCATTGCTCTCTCACTCTCTCAGTAAGTTCTTCATCTTCTCCGTCTTCTTTTTTATGCTTGCTTTTATCTTTTCTTCTTTTTTCTCGTATTCTTATTTGACTTCTTAAACCTTAATTATAAGTTATAAGACTAATACTTACAAGGTTCATATATTACTAGAATTTTGTGGAATAAACATTTGTAATTTTATTAAAACCAAGCCGAGTAATCATCGAGTAAGCCTGAGTAACTGGTCCCATCGCTACACATCAACCCTTGACCGAGTTGACACTGAGGAGCGATTTAACTTGTTAGCTCCGGCTTTTGATCCCCAATGTCTGCATATAGAATAGTATATATGAAATGCTGCACAATGTGAATTATTGGTATTTTTTAACTGTTAATATATTATGAATGATTTACTGGTAACATGAAAATCACTCTAGTAGCTTACAAACTAAGGGTTTGCTTGGCTCAGGCATTTCAAAGGGAAGGGAGTTTTTTTTTAGTAATCTATCTCTATTTGTTGGGTTATAACTATAAATAAATATATGTATAGTTAGATCGTGTGTTTCTACTTTCTATAAATTAATATTATCTTGATTAGATTTCCAGCTAGCTAAATGTTACTCATATGGGTAATGGGTATATAGATATAATGGAATTAAATTTGAAGTGATCAAAATGATGTTAATGTATGTACTTTTTTCTTGTGAGTGGACGATACTTTTTACAGCCGTGCTACTTGTACACGAAATGTGTACACATTTTGTGTGCACACGCCTATAGTTGCCTGTGTACGTGGGCAGCTTCTGAATGGGCTGCCTGTGTATACACGCAACTAGAGGGTGTGTACATAAAATGTGTACAATTCGTGTACAAGGCTACAAGCAGCTTATTTCTACTTTTTATTCTAAAGAAATTGCTGCATATATGAGTAAAACATGAATTGTATGCACAAGCCGGAGTTTAATAAGAAAATAGGAAATATTCAGTCGTATTAAAGAATTCAAGTAGTTATAACATCTTTTAGGAGTGCATAAAAAATTATGATGGTCCTATTTGGAGGAATGTATTTGAATGTGTTACGTTTATGTCTTATTTATGAACTAGCATTTGTTCGCGCAAGGCGCGATAGTCCATGCCCAATACTTAAGTAATTAATATCTCGCGTACAACATTGATGGAATTGAGATTGAGATTTTTTTTGTGGAAGATGATGAATTTGAGATTTAAAAAACTCTTAAACGTGGCAAATTTTAAAATGCTATAAAATATATAAAATTTAAAAAATTGAAATTTGACAAAATGTTACAAATGGATAGTAATATTGCGTAACTTCTTTAAATGAGGATGAGGTGTGTGAGATTTAAAAATTAGAAGTATTCTGTAAAGTTTACTTTAATAGAGCGTATATATGTAATATAACTAATTAATTTTGAAATGAATACAAATAGACCACTCTAATCATTACATTGCAACAGTGGATGTTTATGTAATACGCAGTATAATTAATTAATCTTGAATAGAATACCAGTTATTTCCGTTTCCTAATACGGAATATAATAATTAAGTTTGAAGGAAATTGAAATTGAAGCTAGTTAACGGAAGATAACTAAATAAGGGGTATCAACCCTTATTCACAATTATAAGAGCAATGTACATGTGAGAAGTTAAGTCCCACTTTTTAAGAGCAATGTACAATTCATTGTGCATACAATGTGTTGACATAAATAAGGGGTATCAACCCTTATTCACAATTATAAGGTTTTTAGATTTTATCTTTACTGTATGTTCCTTTTCACATACAAAGTCATACTTCACCATGTCATTCGTAATTTTATGCTAGTAATTACGGAGTATTAGATTAGATATACCTCTAATACTTATATGGGTTGATGATTAAGAAGATGATGACAAGACCATTTTAATCCTTTCTGCTCTAATGTATTCACTATATGACTTTGCAGGTGAATTATGGTAACTTTATGCATGGGCTGGTGAAGGAAAATGTGCAACTTAACAGAAAGGTACTATCTGAGATATCTATGCACGAACCATATAGCTTCAAAGCCTTGGTTGACATCTCCAGAGCTGCTTTCCCTGGCAATAAGATGACAGTCATCCCACCTCTCCAAGAAAAAAAGAAGGGTCTTTCACTTCTTGTTTAATTATTTCTATAGATTACCCTTTCTTGTCATTTAAATGGCCTTGTCCAAGTTTTGGTAATGCCCTCTCCTTCCCGCAAAAATACTAATATTGAGATTAGCACGGGTATTTGTTTTTGTTTGTGTTGGTCGATGATGGATGAAACCGGAAAAACAAACACCACCGGCCCTTTGCTCAGAGAGAGCTTTCTAGCCTATGTATTGATGTGTGGCTAAATGATAGTTTCTAGCCTATTAATTCACGGCTTTGTCGAACTAATCTAAATGTGTACTTCCACATTCTAACACAGTTTCTATAATGAACAACATTAGTTCTCAGGATATCTCCATATTCAAATTTAGGTTGGTCAAAGATGCACGACACATTATTTTTATGCACTTCACAATTTCAGTTTAACAAGAATGTTTTTTGAGGAATTGGAGTTAGATGAGTTTTGAGGTTCTTTGCTGAGTTTGTATGAACAACTAATGCTACACTAACAAAACAGGAATTGGGGCTTATGCGTCTGGGCCTGTTTGAAATGGGGTGGTTTAGTCCGGGTTCTCGGTTCTTATTATTTATAATAAAAAAAACGCTACACTAACAAACTATCTAGTTTACATTGCTGATAAAATTATCAAATTTATTGGGTACCAATGCCGTAGTAAAAACCAGGGGCGGATGTACACCCATGGGAGGGGGGCAGCTGCCCCCAATAACCCTTTACTAATTCTAAGGATTCTACTACCAAATAATAACTAATTTATGAATTGCCCCCAATTAAACAATTATTTTGTCCCCCCATAACCCAGACTAAATAATGGGAAGACTACAAGAGGATTTCATAAAATTGAAACCTTCGAACTAATAAGAATGTAAGATTGAAGAGAGAATAAACAACGTAAACGGCTCAAAACGAATCCAAAATGGAATCTGCTTTATTATCTTCTATTCTCTAAAATCAAAACTTATATTTGTCCTTTTGAACATCTTGTGTGTTGGGAGATATTTTTTCTTTTGGAACTTATATTTTTGACATCTATTTATTAAGTTAGTTCGTGTTTTTTGAATATAACATTGTGAAAACTGGCCATTATATATATATATATATATATATATAGAAAAGATCCTGTCCAGACGTCCGGACAGGAGCCGCCGTCCGGCCGGCGGCGTTTGGCCGCCTTCCCGGTGGAATTTTTTGATGAAATTTTTATGGCATGTTCTCCATCAAGTCTAGTTTATCCACAAAAAAAATTAGCCAAAAACTCAATCGGGAAGGTCGTCAAATGATTTTTGCAAGTTAACTGGTCCGGAATATGTATTTTCCGGACCAGTTAACTTGCAAAAATCATTTGACGACCTTCCCGATTGAGTTTTTGGCTGAATTTTTTTGTGGATAAACTAGACTTGACTAGGAACATGCCATAAAAATTTCATCAAAAAATTCCACCGGGAAGGCGGCCAAACGCCGCCGGCCGGACGGCGGCTCCTGTCCGGACGTCTGGACAGGAGCATTCCTCTATATATATATATATATATATATATATATATATATATATAGGGTGCGGTTCTAGTGAGAACGATGCTTAACATTTAAATCAATGTGGTGCACAATGGAGCTATATTGTTGCACATTTTCAATTTGCTCGAGTTAAGCCTATATTAAATAAACACGGTGGCACTTTGGTAAATATTGTGAAAATGTGAAATAGTGCAATATACAAGCTTCATTGTGCAACACGTTGGAGTAAATGAAGTGTTCTCACGTTATCACGTTAAGCATTGTTCTCATTTGATCTTTATTTTATATGTGTGTGTGTGTGTGTGTATAGGGAGCGGTTCCGGTAAGAACGGAGTCTCCGGAGAGAAATGAGAATGAATCAGGACCGTTGGATTAAAATTATGTGGAACTGGATTGTGCATTTGGTGAAACTGAAATGTGCAATAGATGATATTGAAACGTGCAAAATAAAAATTTAAACTCAAATGTTCATTAGATGAAATTTAAATGTGCGGAATAAAAGTTACAAAAATAACATCACATCATACATTTTATTCTGCACATTTCTGTTTCACCTAGTGCACATTTCAATTTCACTTAATGCACAATTCAGCTTAACATAATGCCAATGTATTATACCTTTTGTGCTGCACATTTCAATTTTACCTAATGAACATTACAGTTTCATCTAATGTACACTGAACTTCACTTAAAGCAAATCTAAAGATCCAGATTCATTCTCATTTCTCTCCTAAGATCATGTTCTTATTTGAACCAAGACATATATATATATATATATATATATATATATATATATATATAGGGTGCGGTTCCAATGAGAACGATGCTTAACGTGAGAACGTGAGAACACTCACATTTAAAACAATGTGATGCACAATGGAGCTCTTCTGTTGCACATTTTCAATTTGCTCGATTTAAGCCTATATCAAATAAACACGGTGGCAGTTTGGTGATTATTGTGAAAACGTGAAAAAGTGCAATATACAAGCTTCATTGTGCAACATGTTAGGGTAAATGTGGTGTTCTCACGTTCTCACGTTAAGCATTGTTCTCATTTGATCTTTATTCTATATATATATATATATATATATATATATATATATATTTTGGTTCAAGTGAGAAACGCATCTAATGTAAGAAATGAGAATGAATCTCAATCATTAGATTTACGTGTTTGCACTAAAAATAGCTTAATGTTGCAGTAACATTTAAATTTTTGCAGTGTTGCACTAAAATTGTTTCATATTGCACTAAAATTTAATGGCGTTGCACCGAAATAGCTTCATGTTGCACTAGACAAGTGTAATACGGATTTTTCAGAAGTATTTACAGAAATGCCACCGTGCTAGATTGCATATTTCAGTGCATCATGAAGTGTCTTTTACTGCAACTTAGTCGAATCCAACGGTTGAGATTCATTCTCACTTCTCACCTAAAGGACTCTTCTCACTTGAACCTTACCCTATATATATATATATAATGGCTAGTTTTTAGGTTCATTGTGTTTCTTTGGGCTAGTAGGAGAAGTTTTATTTTTTAATTGAATTTCACTTTGATTTGATTTGTTATATGAGGTTTCTTGTGCATAGATAGGATGATTGATCTTTTAAAGATATTAGGTAGTTCGAAGTTCTTACAATAAATAAATACAAAAATATAAAATTACAATTTTTTGTATCGAAATAGTTCCCTTGGGTGTGTTACATACTAGTTCAATTAATTAGATACTCAACCCAATTACTTTTTTTTATCACAAGGCGCTCATATCATCAAAATAGCATTCAACAGGGGTACAAGAACGTGAAAGGACCACATGTAACCATCCGCCCTTGGCCGAGACTCCGAGTTAATCACCTTTGACAAAGCAATATAACTCGCTAGACCTAACTTGGGCAAATTAAAGCTAACGACGATTACCGTAAATCTCTCAACCCCCAAACCTAATGCAAGAGTTTTACAGCATAAATAGGAGTAAAAACAAAACATAATAGTCTGACCATGGAATAAAATGAAAATAAATAAAATAAACTGACAGGGCAATCAAATCCGTGCTTCAAACATTATCCTCGACGGTGGCTTAGGAGGAGGACTGATCATCAACCCTTCATCTTGAAACATTCCTTGCAAACCCACCACCACAATTTCCACTGACATCTTCTTTATCGCTATGGTTATAGCCCGAATGAACCCGGAATCCAAGCTTACCATCCCAATCAAAATCAGTGGAAAAAGAGAGGAGTCCATAACCCGAGCAAAATCACGATCCAAATATGCTTTCTCCCAAAATGCCCGTCCCCCCTTCCTAAACCTGATGGCGAGCAAGTAAGAGCGAAGCAGAGAGGGTAAATACCGATCTTCAATTGGCAAGATTGAAATTGGAAATACTACCTAGCGGCTCGCAGCGCAAGCCCTAGGAGAAAAACGAGATCTTCTCTCAATTGACGGTGTTTTTTCTTGAAACAATGAAAACCCATTCTTTTTGGTGAAGTATTTTCTCAACACAATTACTTATTACCTTTGAACATAAATATGTGTTTTCCCAAACAGTTAATAAAATAAAAATCATGCCTTGAATGGTTTAATAATAAAAAAGTAAAGTTAGAGCTTGATGAATAAAATAAAATAAAATGTTTGCTAAAGAGATCTATTTAGCTATTTTTATTGCCTCTATTTTTTTTAAAATAAAATATACTTTAAATGTAAGTTTTCCGATTCATAATTTATCAGATTCAACTAATTCAATCATTTCAATCAAAATTCTATTTCCTCAGTCAGTCAGTCCCATTTATATTGTCTCAGTTCCTATTTACTTGGTCAACACAAATCACCCTTAATTTCTTACTTTATATATAAAAAATTTATCAAATTTGATTCAGGTTTTTGCGACTTTGTAAAGCTTTAAATATAGTTTGTGAATATGTAATTTTGTTCCCTAAAAATAATTTGAGTGCAGACAGGGATCTATTTGTTTTATCGTCGGTCAAACATCGTAAACCATAAAGAGACAATATAAATGGGACGGATGTAGTATCAACTTCACTATGTTCAACCACTTTTAGTGTTAAAAATGTGGTTCAATATGAAAATGTGTCGTGGTTCAAATTTTATCTCATGCTTTATTAATCTCCCCCTAACACCTTATTTTCCACGATCCGCCATTGGTAAAAACTCAAAATAAAAATGAAAAAAAAAATGTTTGAATTAGTTAAAAAAATATCTAACCAAAAATCTATAAATTAAATAGCACAGAATCACACAAATTATTAAATAATACCAAATTTTGAAATGTAGAAAATTAGAAATTATTATCCATAAACTAAAAAGCTAACACTTGAGAAATTTGACTAGTCACTATACTTATGTGTTCAAGAGAACAATTTAAACCTTAATAACTCTCAAAATGTAAGTAAAAGTAAGACAATTAAGTGAATATGTGACACTTTATTAAGCAAGAGTCTTTGTTTAAAATACAAATAAAATAAAGAAAAATTGAAGCATTCCTAATAAACTGGGGATACTAATTTAGATGTTCACATGGACATTGTTACAAAAGTGATATTAAAATGCGAGTTTAACTAGATAAAAATCATGTGTATAAACAAATAACTAGACTAACAGTCAAATGCAAGATAAGAAAAAAGTAATAGTAATAATTACAATAAATGAAAAATGAATAAAGAGAAAAGATAAGAAAAACATATCACAGGATCGCCTTTAAAAATAAAGTACTGGCCTTGAAGAAGGATAGCTCTATATCCCGATAGCTATTCAGACGAGTCTAACTAGCTCGTTCCCAAGATAGTACTACCATGTTTCAGGCTCATAGCTACCTTGAATGAAATCTTCCACTGTTGCCAA